CGCGTCCCCCTCCCCCCTTGCCCCTCTCAATGTTCCATACTACACAGTCTGCGGATAAAATCGCAAACCGTGTAGCTGCCGAGGCTGGCCGAGGTGAGCCAGACTAGCCGAGCCGAGCCGAGCTTTAGTAATTGCCCTCGTGATCGACGATCAATGCTCCAGTCCTGCTTTCATCGTTCGGTTCACTTCCGTTCTGGTGTCCCGCGGACGCATTGCAATAGATACGTAAGATGTACGTAGGATTACCGTAACTCTATACAGTGCGTGTAAAACACGTCAGATGGAACACTGTATTCAAGTAGTGAGCAAACAAAAACTACTCTAGTTCATCCAGTGTCCATTGCATGAGATGCGACTTGAAGGCTGGGAATACCTCTGAAAATACCAAGACCGGCCCGCCTAGCTATCAGTGTGAGTATTCCTTGTTACTAAGATATGCCTGCAGTTAGTACCCACCAGTTGTTCGATGTATGTGCACCACCTCTTCGAGTGTCGCAATTTGGTCACTTAATTTTACATGTGTATCACTCACTAATGCACATTGTTCATCGGTTGTCGGCAAGACGAGCAACATCTCCAGCCCATCGAATTTTACTTCCACGCGTGATCGCAATGATATCCTGCACGCCACTCATCTGACGGAGTTGGTACTTTTCATAAATCCCGACTTTTCTCCTTAGTAACAAAATGCTTTCGCAGCATCCTTCATTCAAATAGATTTATTATGCGTTTTGTGCTGCGTAACAGCAGTACAAAACGCATATTGTCACGGGTTGTCTGTGTGTATGTTTGTGTGTGTGTGTGTATGTCCGCAGCTTTCAACTCGGGATTCACAAAAACTAGGATGCTGAAAATTTAGGGGAACGTTCCCCACCCACGTGTGACCCCGCAAATTTAAATTCAGCTTTCCCATACCCGCGGGTAACACGTATGGCTCCGTGAAAGTTTCTTGCCGGTAAATTAACATCTGGGGAACCACGGAGTCTAGGAGGCTGAAATTTTAGGGTAATAACCTCCTGCCCACGCTCAACCTTGCCCATTCAAATTTAGCTTTCCGTACCTGCGGGTAACACGTATGGCCCCATGGAATTTTTTTACGGGTAAATTAATAGCTCGGGAACCACGGAGTCTAGGGGGCTGAAATTTTAGAGTAATGGCTCCCTGTCCACGCTCAACCTCGCCCTTTCAAATTCAGCGTTCCCGCGCTCTCGGGTCTCACCTACGGCCTCATGTAAATTTTGACGGGTAAACTATTAATTCGGTAATCACGGAAAGATATTCACCCTTCAAGGTTTCGAATTCAGCTTTTATGCGTTGGTGCGTAAAATCTTTAATTGTTTTCCAATGTTTGAACTATTTTTGCATAGGCTAAAGTATAAAGCAGTAAAAATCATTAATAGGCAACTGTTCGATGGGCTGAATTGCACACGCATAATAGGCAACCAAAACGCATGATCGCACCGGCTAGTCTAGTGCGCGTTTCTATTTATTTATTAAACAGAACATATAAATCGTTTTATCCCGTGTACTGTGATGAAGAGCTGTGAAGACAATCTTGATCTTTTGCTTGTAATTCTTAAAAAATGGCGACCCTATGCAGTGAGGAATGAGTCTAAAAATTATTCGAATATAGTACAACAAATAACGCAAGTTTTACACAACAGATACTAAAAGCAGAATTCCAATGGTGGTTGAACGGCTAATTCCTGTTCCAGTCCCCCTTATCTTTCTTCTCTTGTTCACCGAAACTCCTCTAACTACTGCGGGCGCAATCTGCCATGAGTGTCGTGAATGCGAGAGAACTATGGTGGTCGGTTATGGCATTGTATTCTCCGCCCAGTGAGATGGGCGGGAATGTACTTTAGGGAGCTCAATAAAGGATTGATCGCCGGGGCCTTTGCCATTCAAAAGAAAGGGTTCGAAGAGAAGCGGCACATCGCGATAGCGGCGGACTCGAGAAGAGGAGCGCCGGACTTGGAAAAAGCAGCGGACTTTGCGACAGTGGCGGACTTGGCGACAGCAGCAGTACTTCGCGACAGCAGCGGCCTTGGGGACTGTTATTGATTATTTTGGAGTGTTCGACTCTGGGATAAATCCCATACTCGATAGTTTTGCTACATGTAACGTTCGGGCGGAGAAGGCGCTGGAGCTGGTAGGCCGAGCGATCTTGATGTGATTTGTTAGTGCGATTTTTCCTATTCATTTTTTTTTTCCAGTTTGCGTATCACTGTGTCAGGATGGTGCGTGTTATTATCAAAGGTGGTGTGTGGCGTAACACTGAGGTAAGCTGTTTTCATCGAATATTCTTCAAAATGCTTGTTTTTGCATAAAAATGCATCGGGGAGGCCTCTTCCCGTTGCTTATAATTATGGTTTTGTTCGTTTTCCAGGATGAAATTCTCAAAGCAGCGATCATGAAATATGGCAAGAACCAGTGGAGTCGCATTGCTTCTCTCCTTCATCGAAAATCAGCAAAACAGTGCAAAGTAAGTTGCCTACCTTTAGGGCCCCATCAATTTTTTAAAAAAATATTAAGATATGTGGTGGATTTACTGGAATGCTGAACTATTTGACATTTGGGTAAGTTTCCCCTACGGGAACTTTTGTGATACATCGAACACGCTAGGCACTTAACTTTAGAAACCTTAAAAAAATGCTTTTACGAGGCCTTCCATGGATTTGCTTGTGTATGTGAGTGCGTGTGTATGTTTGTGTATGTGATGTGTATGTATATGTATATTTATGTATGTATTTCTATGTATGTGCATATGTGTGCATCTGTGTGTGTATGTATGTGTGTGCCTGTTTTTTGTGCCCGTTTTCAACGCGGTTATCAAAAGTCGACTCGGCTCGGCTGTTTGCGGATTTGCATGTAAGTTGCAAAAATCATAATCGTACACAAGTACTTTTTGTTCCGACGAGTTTTTGGATTCCAGTTTCAAGTTTCTTAGCTTTCTGCATTTTAATTTTTTGCTTAGCATCACGAACCCGTCTGCTCCTCCTTCCCCTCCCCGTAATCCTCCCCCCTGTCTTCAATTCCGATCCCAAACAATATTTCGCTCTATATTTTCAGTCAATATTCCTGTGACTTAAGCTTGTGTTCTTGGTCCCTTCCCCCCAACTGAACAGCCTCGCCTTTCAAATTGAAGTTCGAGCTCAAATCCGCCTGGAATCCGAGCCGACTTAATACGAAAATCACAAATTTCCCTCTGACCCTGCCAAGTGATTGCCTTTGGACGATCAGACTAGCTAGGATGTTGAGAATTTAGGAACATTTCTGCCAAATTTGTCAATTTTCAAGTTGTGTTTGTTTATTTTACTTATTTTCAAGGCTCGATGGTACGAGTGGCTGGATCCTGGGATCAAAAAGACTGAGTGGTCGCGC